GTGTTATTCCCCATCAGAAGACGGGTCCTAGGGTGGCCTCAAGCAGGGTGGAGAAGCAGGTGCAAGCCCACGACAGACGGAGGCCACACCAGGCTGGGGGCCTTCGGGAAGCCACCCTATAACACAGAAGGACACACCTGCCCGGGGAAAACCCAAGGGTGCGAGGGAACCAGAGGGGGTGGACTCGGCCCGATGGGCCCCTGGCGAGAGCGCACAGTTCTTTCTGGAGAAGCACAGACATGTCTGTGTATCTCCTGACGGCGGGTTCTGAATTAGGAAGGAATCACCTCCCTCCGGGAGAACGCTGGCCCCCACCCGCCTCCCCCCACCCCTCCCTCCCCCCTCCTCTCACCCCTCTCCACACCCCTCCCTCCTTCCTCCCCCTACCCTTCCCCCTCCTCCCACCCCTCCCCCACCCCCTCCTCCACCGCCTCCCCCTCCCCCTGCCCCCCACCCCTCCTCCTCCTCTCATCCCTCTCCCCACCCCTCCCTCCTCCCCACCCCTCCCTCCTCCCCCGTCCTCCCCCATCCCTCCTCCCTCCTCCCACCCCTCTCCCCACCCCTCCCTCCTTCCCCCAACCCCTCCCTCCTCTCCCCATAGCCCAGTGGGCCCTCCGGGAGCCCCAGCCCGCAGGACCGCCAGCCCGGGGGGCGGGGAGCGGGCAGCCAGGCCGTCAGGAGCCCTCACAACCTGCATGTGGACAGAGCGAAGGACATGATGAGATTTCCGGGTCACGAGGAGGGGCAGCCGGGCTATTTTTAACTGAATCACCTGTCCTTTTTATAGAAGAGAGAGAGGCTGATTTTTTCCCTGCTCCACGGTTTCTGCTGCTAATGGTAAGATCTGTCTTCAAAAATCCAAGACAAGGTTCAACAAAACTCGGTCATCAACCTCTGGCAGATGATGCGTCCCTACCTTTCCGAGGTGGGGTTCTTTCCTGACGCTGACAGTTTGGGTGTTTATTATTCCCACAGTAGCCTTTCTGCGACGTTGCCGGTCGCCATCCGGGGAAAGGCCGGACCCTCCGGGACCCTCCGGCCTCCGAGACGCGCCCAAGGGGCAGACAGGCTCCCCCAGCCCCACCCCAACCCCGACACCTTCCCGGAGCTTCTCCCCTTCGGCCAGTTCAAGCCGGTGCCTGGCGCCTGGGGTTGCAGCTGCTGAGGCTCCCCGAGCCTGGACCGGCCAGTGAGGCGCAGAAGGTGGGGGCGCCAGGGGGAAGGACGGCCGCCACCCGCACCCCAGCAAGGAGGAGAGCGTTGTGGGGCGCTTGGGCCCGCACAGACTCAGTGGGGTCCCCCCAGCTTGGACACTGGGTGAGCCAAGGCCCCACCCCGAGAGCAGGGTGGACAGTCAGTAAGTAGCCCCCGAAGAACTACGCCCTGGGCCGGGCCACATGGGGGGCGGCAGGGGCCCCGACCTCACTGGACGTAGGTTAGAACAGAGCTGGGGGCCAGCGGAGACAGAGGCCCACCCAGGCGCGTCCCAGGCGGGAGGGTGGCCGGGCGGCGGGGCCAGAGCGACCCGGGCTCTGGGTGGGCAGGCGGGGAGCGTGTGGAGAGGACGGTGGGCACAGGCCAGGCCCTCGGGGCTGCTGGGACGGACGCTGGACGTGTGTGCCATGTCCCTGGCACTGCCTGAGCCCCACGAGGGGCAGGTTCCTTGGAGGGTGTCAGGCCCACGGTCCGGGGGCAGGAGGACGGAGGCAGGTGGACCCCCAAGGGGCTGAGCAAGGACACGCCAGGGAAGGGACCTGGCCGAGCTCCCCGCCACATGCCACAGGTAGCAGTCGCCACGGGGCACACGGGATGTGCTCGCTCACAGCCCCGGGGCAGGTCCCTCGAGCCCAGCCCCCCTCTTTTGGCCCCTTTGGCCGTGCTGCCGAGTGGAGAGGGTCAGGTCAAACCCCGGGGTTTGGCCTTCTGGGTGCTTGTCCCATGGGTCCCACACCACTGAGCGGGGCTTGTCCCTCGGGGCCCCTACTGACCCGCGGGCGAGGAGGGCTTCTAGCCAGGACGCAGGTTCCACATCCCTCCGGGGCCGATGGAGCGGCTGGGGGGCCCGGCCCTGCTCCCCGGCGGCCCACCCCTTGGCGTTCAGTGACGAGGACGTAGGGGTGGCCCCGCGGAGGCGGCGGCAGGAGCCCCTCGACGCCCCCCCAGCCTGGTGCCTGCCCGGCTCCTCGCCCCAGAGGTGATTCCGGGGCCCCCTCGCTGCCCAGAGCTGAGCAAGTTTGCTCCGCGAGGCCAGTTCCAGTTCCCGACGTCCGGTCTCCGAGGGCAGCGCCGCCCCGGCTCCCGCAGGAAGTGCCGGACCGACGCCCATGGATGAGGGGTCGCCCTCCCGGGAGCCGCTCCCTCCTGCGGGAGTAGGACCCCCTTGTACCCAGAGTGAGGTGTGCAAAGCTCTTCATCGGGTCTCGCCCAGCGGGGTTGAGCCACGAACGTCAGCCCGAGGGCGGCTGCTCTGGAAGGAGGAAGTGGGGACGGGCCTGTGGGACCCTCGGGGACGGGCGGCCGGCGGTGCCTGCCGGAAACGGGGCCCAGGCCCTCCCCCCGGGTTCCAGCGCCGGGGTCCCCTGAAATCTGCAGGGAAGCAGCTCCCGCACCCTGGAGGTCACAGCAGACCCCCACGGCCGTCCCAGGATGCGCAGACGCAGGTCATCCTCCCGGCGGCTTCCGCGGACCCACCACGAGCCTCTGCATCCCCCTGGAGCGCTGGCCGGGGTGGGGGGCCCTCCGTCCGCCCAGCTGACCATTGGTGGGCCCCGTGCCCCGGTGCAGAGGGAGGGGCAGCAGGGCCTCTGTGGGGGGGTCTCCATCCTGCACGCCCGAGGCCGGGGTCAGTGCCCAGGACACAGCGCTCCCCACGGCCACCACCCTGCGGGCCCGACGGCCGACGTCCCAGGAGCCCGGAGCTCGTCCCGGGGAACGTCGTCTCCCAGTGTCCCCCTCCCCGTGAGGAGCCGCCTGCGGGAGCCCGACCGCACCCTCCTCCACCACCTGCGCGTCCGCGCCCTCCCTTCCTGGGGCCGGGGCCCACCGAGACCCACATCGCACGCCGAGCTGGTCCCTGGGCAGGTGCGGCTCCAGGAGAGGCAGGAGCGCCAGCAGCAAGAGTGCGTTGGCCGCAGGAGGCCTTCCTCCAGCCTCCGCAGGAGTCCGGGCCGCGGAGCAGAGGGGTGGGGGGCGGGGGGGCATCAGGCTGCCGTTTCGGGGACAGCCCCGCCGGCCCGGGCACCTGCAGAGGCTGCGCCTTATCACCTTCCTTCTGGGGGGGGGGGTTGGTACCTGCTGCGGTCGCCACTTAGGAAATGCCGAGAGTTTGAGGAGCTCTGAGCCCGGCGGCGAAGACCAAGTACCTATTTTTATTGTAAATCACGATCATCACAGAGAGGGCGCCAGAAATATTACAAAGGATGTTGGCAGCAGAGGAGGCTCCAGCGCGCCCCTCGGCCAGGCTCTCAGGAACGCGGGGGGCGGGAGCTGCCGGGGCTTCGGCCCGCAGCGCTGGGGCCTGGGGTCACCCCCCCCGGGGCCGGACACTCGCAGGGTCAGCGGTCAGCCCTCCCCGCCCAGCCGCACTCAGAGCCCCCGCTCCTTGGGGATGAAGTGTTTGTGGGCAGGTGGGGGGACGAGGGGAGGACGCAGGAAAGCACGGAGCTGTCAAACCCAGGGACGGCCGGGCCCGTTCCCCAGCTCACGGCCGCAGGGGGCGCACCCGGGGTGGTCCTGAGCCCCGGGACCCCCGACCCCTGGCCCAGCAGGTCCGGCGCAGGGCTGTGGGGCTGCGGGGCTGCGGGGCTGCGGGGCTGCCGCTGGTAACTTGCTTCTCTGCCTTTATTTCCCTGGCTGCGTGTCCCTGGAAATGATGTAAAATGCCTAGAAATTTCTCCGCGTCGCTGCTGTGCGCATGATCACATTCCTGGTTGCTACGATCTCAAAATGTCGCACGTCACGGAGGCGACCGAGCCCCCTGGGCAGCGAGGCTTGTGCTTTCCCGGGGTGTCTCGCCTGCCCTTGCCCCGCGGCCGCGCCCCTCGCAGCGCCCGTGTCCCCGTGGGCTCCTCCCTGACGCTGCCGGCCGCCGACAGGCCTGCAGAGCGCGGCCCCCGAGCCCGGCGAGGACCTACTCCGTCGGCCGGGACCCGGGTCCTCGAACCGCCGGCTCCAACCAGCACACCCAGCACCAATCAGGTCACCTGAACCGACGGGGCCGTTACAGCGCTTGCGACTCCCCTCAGCGCCGTCCTCGCCGTCGCGCGTCCAGATCGGAGGAGGATCTCCTTTCGTGCCAGCTCTTAACTTGCCGCAATTCGGTGACCTGCGCTTCTGCATAAACAGGAATAAAACATTTATTCCCCCGCCGCCCCGATCCCTCCGGAATGCAGAGCCTCCCACCGAGTGTTCTTATTTTCACGGCCACGTAGGGATTTACCCAAACTCAAAACAGCCTGCGTCCTTGGAACGGGACACGGCGGGGCGAGCCCTTGGCTTGGCTTCCACCCGGGGACGCTCCAGACATCTATCGGAGGTTCCTTATTCCCACGCGGTTTTGAGGAGCCGAGACCGACTTTTGGAGCCCACGACGCCCTCGGGATCACCCGGGCGTGGCCTCAACATCCCACTGGAGAATATGCATGAAATCACTGCTCCCGCCGCCCCACGGGACACTCAGGCGGCGTTCGGGGAGGCGGGCCCCCTCCGACGGTGACGCGTCCGGGCAGCACGTTCCGGGGGGGACGCAGGCTGCCCGCCCCACACTCCGGTCCTGTTCACGGTTCCTGAGGCCTCGGCATCTCCCCGCGAACTGGCCTCGTCCTAAATCCTCCCAGTGCCCCCAGCTCTCTGGCTACAACTTTCCAGACTAAGCATTTCCTCCACTTTCTATTTATTTATTATTATTTATTTATTTATTTATTTATTTATTTATTTATTTATTTTTTATTTATTTATTTTTTTCCTCCACTTTCCTGACTAAAGAAAGAACGTTCTAAGAACTGAAACTACTGTTTTCCTGAAACCCTGAGAGCTCGATGGACAGCTGGACCCCTCAGTGCCAAGTCCAGAGAAGCCACCCGGACCGAGCCCGCGGGGACAAGCCTCCGCCGACCGCGTGGACGGCTCAGAGAACCCAGCAGGACGTCTGGTGACACCGCCAGGGACGCTCTGGCCGCAAACCAGCAACACCCACCTGATTGAAACCCCGTCGTCGGGGCGCCTGGGGCGCTGGGTCCTGGAGCTCCGCCCTCGGCTCAGGTCAGGACCCCGGGGTCCTGGGTTCGAGCCCGCGTCGGGCTCCCCGCGTCTCCCTCCCACTGCCCCCCCCATGCTCTCTCTCTTTCTCTCTCTCAAATAAATAAATAAAATCTTTCTTTAAAAAATTAAATAAACCACCATCCTCGTTCCACCATCTAAAGATGCTCCAAGCTCAAAGGCAGAAAGTTTCTCAACTGGATGCTCTCCAACCTGAGGAAAGGAGTTTTGTTTGTTTTAAAAGATTTTATTTATTTATTCCTGAGAGACACGGAGAGAGGCAGAGACACAGGCAGAGGGAAAAGCAGGCTCCCTGCAGGGAGCCCGACGCAGGACTCGATCCCGGGACCCCGGGGTGAAGCCCCCTGGGGATCCCCAAGAATTGAGTTTATAACAGTAACTATTAACTTCTGTTTTTCTTTTGTTTCCATAGAAATGCCTCCCCAACTGCCTCAGTGCTGGTGCCTGGGAAGTCGTGACGCGGCCGCGTTCTTGGACAGAAAAGCTCGATATTACGGAGACTCATTCTCCCACAATTAACCTATAAACTCGATGTCACCAAATCCATGGAGGTGCGTGTATGTGTTCAGAACTGGTCAGGTTTGGGCCAAGTTTCATTTTGAGAAACAAACCCACACGCATTCAAACTCCTGTGGCGGAATCGAGGGTACGCGGGTCCTTCGGGCGGTGGGGACGGGAGGACCGTGTCCCGGGGTGCGGGCGTGGGGCGATGGGCGCGGACACTCCCCGCGGGGGCTGAGGGGCGGCCCCACTGTGAGAGGGCGAGGGCGGCCCTCCCGGGGCCCCGGCAGCGGGGTGGGGGGTGGACGGTCCTACTTTCCCGCTAACCCTGGGATCCTTCCAGGGAATCCACAAGCGACACAGAGAATCGGGGACCGAGACTCCAGAAGCAGCAGGAGACGTCACACAGTCTCGGTCCGGTCTGAGCGTGCAGAGACTCGGAGACTGTGAAAGGCAGCCCAGAACTTCAAAATGATAAAAATCCCACCCTAAGGAGGTAAAAAGACAGACAAGCGAGGACCAGCGGCAGCACGTGGTACGGGCGGAGGGGCGGAGGGCTGGTTTCCGCACCCACGTCTGCAAATCTGCCCGAAAGAGGCCACACGCTCAGGAAGCGCGGGACGGGGTGGGGGCACAGCCGCGTTTAAGGCCAGCGCCTCCTAAGAAGGGACGTGTCCGTCCGCGGACCGGGCAGCCCCTGCATCCATCGTGTGGGGAGGACGGGGACGGGGACGGTCCGACCCCACAGCGCTCTGGGGAGCAAGTGGGCCAGGCCGGCGGCCGCTCCCTGTGCCCGAACTTCCACACGTGGCCTCAAACCCCCGTGGCCAGTGGCCCCCGCCCGCTCCGTGCGGCCATCGGCTGGCGTCCCTGACTCTGCCCTGAGCGTGGGGGATGCGGCGTGCACGGTCTGCCCGTGGGGCCCGTCATCCAACAGGAGCCCTCGGCTAAACAACCCTCGGCAGGGAACCGGCAGGGGTGACTGGAGGGCCCGCCCTCGGCCTCCTTCCAGGGCATCCGACCCACGACGTGCGGTGCTGCCGCTCCGGCTGGGAGGCCTGACCCGCAGGTCCCCGGGGCACAGACGACCCCACTCTCTGCAGCCGGTGACCCATGGGGGTGCTGGAGGCGCATCCGCTCCGGGTGGTCGGCGCGGCGGGGCCGTGAGTCCCCAGGCTCTAGCTGCCACACGGGGCTAACGCCCCCCTGTGGAGACCCCTGCTCTGCCGCCCTCCCACCTGGATCGCTGCCTGCCGCCCCTCCCGGGCCTCCTGCCCCACCCAGCCTCCGTGTCACGGCAGCCCCAGGGGGTCCTGGTGGGGTGCAAGCCATGTCCCCGGCTCCCGGAGGGGTGGCCTCTAGCGCCTCACTGTGTCGCTGTGCAGGGGGGACGCGGCCCCTCCTCCTGCAGCCCCAGCCGCTAGGTTGGAGGCAGGGCCCATCCTCCTCCCTGGCCACTCTTCCTGGCCCCCTGGGGGTCAGTGGACTGACTCCCCAGTACAAAGGCGCCGGTACCTTCCGGGGCCTGTCACCCCAGGGGTGGTTTCTGTGCCCGCCCTGGGAGGGTGGCGTTTTGTAGTTCACGTAAACGTGCATTTGGTCTCCCCGTGTGCCTCCCCCGGGACACGCCCCCACCTGCCCAGGCTCCTCCACGTGTCCTGGGGCCCAGCAGGACTGAGCCCCGGGGCCAGAGCAGGAGTCCACGTCGGGACCAGGGAGGGGGTCCCACCTCCCTCTCCCTCCTCCTCCGTCCCCACCCGCTTCTCAGCACCCCCGCAGCAAACATGCACTTGGACCCCAGATCAGGCCTGTGGCCAGGCCAGCCCACGGCATGGCCAAGCGCCCTCCTGGGCCCGGCTCAGCGACCTCTCCCCGGCGTCCACGTCGGACTCCCCAGGACGAACACATATCCCACCCGTGTGGCCTGAGCAGGTGGGTGCATGGGGACCGAGAGGGACTCAGCTGCCCACACCCACAGCCAGGAGGGGTCACCACCTGCCTGCCTGGCTCGTGTCCCCGCCTGCCCCTGACGTTGCTCCCACCTGACACTGTGAGGAGAGAGGCCCCCTGCAGGGGTGAGGCCCCCGCCGTGGGTCAGGGCGGAGGTCGCGGGGCCTGGCCACCCTCCCAGGGACACTGTGGCTTGTCCCTGAGGAGAGAGAACAGGTGTGAGTCCAAACTGTCCTGATATCAGGCCTCAGGTACGTGGGAGGGTGATGGGGCCGGGGAGACACTTCCCGGGTGTCCCCGACCGACAGGCACCCAGCCCAGCGCCCGCCAGGGTCAAGGCCACTCCTGACGCCAAGGGAGGGCCCTCACGTTTAGGCGGTGGGACGTGCAAAGGAGTTGCTAGTTAATGCTGTTGGCAGGCGTCCTGGAAAATTTGGAAACGGTTTGACCGAGGTCGGCTCTAATGACATTCCTGAGGTGCCGGGCAAGGACGAGAGGCTGCGGGTCGCACGAAGGACATGGTGACATTTCCGTGCAGAGTGAGCCCTCCAGCCGCCAGCCTGCGCCCTGGGAGCCCCCGGGTGAAGGCCAGCTGGCTTCCGAGGATGGTGGGCTGTGTGTGTGCGAGCTCACGTGTGCGTCTGTGAGTGGGGGGGGTGTGAGCGTGTGAGCGTGTGAGCGTGTGTCAGTGTGAGTGTGAGCGTGAGCGTGTGAGTACATGCACATTTATGAGTTCAGGGGTGTATGAGGATATGAGCATGGGCATGAGTGTGTACGTGTTTGTGGTACGTGAGTGTGAGCACACGAGTGCGTCCGTGAGAGTCTTGTCCCCAGCAGGCGTGTCCATCCCGGCCGTCTCCCTGCCCCACGTGTGATGCCGGCGTCACGGAGCTGCCAGCACGATGCCGGGCGCCTGCGATACCGCGTGGGCACCACCCACGGCAGCCGGAGCGGGACCCGCCTCACCACAGCACCTTGTGGGCGCGGAAGGAGGCCCGGCCGCGGGGGGAGGGGGCGCCCGGCGTCCTCCTCAGTGTAGACGGCCTCTTCGGTGACGGGAAAATGGAGCCGAGGCCTGCCTGAATTTCAAACAAATGACATCAGGAGAGTCAGGGGAGGAAAGAGGCCTGGCCCCCAGCACCCAGCCCCCCGCACCCTGGCCCCCAGCACCCTGGGCTCTCTGGCCCCCAGCCCCCGGCCCCCAGCACCCCAGCCCCCAGCACCCAGGGCCCCCAAACCCAAGCCCCCCAGCCCCCAGCCCCCGGCTCCCAGTCCCCCGGGCTCCCTGGCCCCAGCTCCCGGCCCCCCACACCCCAGCCCCCGGCCCCCCGGCCACCTTGCTGCTACCCTATACGGAGCCTCCTAGTATTTGCTGAAATATTCACAGAGCAACGAGACCCCAAGCATCAGTGGCTGCCCTCGTGCTCACTGCTCACCGGGCCAGCGGCTCGCTCGGGGCAAGACCTCCCTCCTCCTCCAAGAAAGGAAGGCAAGAGGGCAAAGGGGGCAGCGCCCATATTTTCAGACCATTGAACACTTAAGGGACCTCCCGCCAGACGAGACTAACTGAGTACAGATGGGCACAGCCCGGCTGAGCACCAGGCGCGGCCGAGCTTCTGTTACCCGCTCCCCGAGGGCCGACTTCGTTCCACTGGGGCCCCGGCTGACTCCGGGCCCGCCTGCGGCGCCTCACGGCTGTGGATGAGGGGGCACCCGCACCCCGCAGCATCGGGCGGCCGTCCCCAGGCGGGGTGTCCGCGGGGGCAGCGGCCTAGGGTCAGGGGGCGGGGGTGCTGCGGTCACCCCCTGGGGGCTTGACTGCTCTGGGTGGACGTGGACGCAGGCGCCCGCCCCCCCTCCCCGTAGCTGCCCCCACGTGCTCACCACCCCTGTGTGCTCACCATCCCCCCATGCTGCCCCCCCTGCTCACCACCCTGACATGCTCACCGCCCCCCAAAGCCCCCCCGCCCGTGCTCACCACCCCTGCGTGCTCACCGCCCCCCTCCCCGAAGCCACAGCACGCCAGTCGAGGGCAGAGGTCGGGGCTGGCGTCCCGGGGCATCGGTTTCCGAGGGCTGAAGCGACAAATGCACACTCGGGGAGATGTGCTGGGGTGCTGGCGGCAGGAGCCCGAAGCCAGTGGGGCTCCCTCCAGAGGCTCCAGGGGAGGACCCTTCCCGCCTCTTCCAGCCCCGGGGCCCAGGTGTCCCCTACCTGTGGCCTCGCCGCCCTGGGGCCCCTCCCCTCCTCTGTCCCCTCACAGGGAGGGACTCTGGGACTTGCGTGGAGGGTCCACCCCCTATCAAGGATGATGTCGTCCTGACACCTTAATCACACCCCGAAGACCTTATTTCCAGGTGCGGTCACGGTCACAGGTTCCAGGCGGGAGGAGCAGCGTCCACCAACCTCCCGCGGACTGAGCTCCGAGGGGCCCGCACGCGGCTGCCGCCTTCACCGGCCCCTTCACCGCCCCCTTCGGGGTCCAGCGACGAGGAGCCCGAACTACAAGAATCCACTCTTGTGCCGCCTTGGTCGGAATGAGACACCGCGGTCGTCCTGTCTTCATCGACCCCACCTGGAAGCTTGCCTCCTTTTCTGCGCTCCGCGACTCTTCACGGAAGATGAAGTATTAATTGTTATTAATTAACGATTAATTAATTGCTATTAATTATTTTTAAATTATTAATTAGGGATCCCTGGGTGGCGCAGCGGTTTGGCGCCTGCCTTTGGCCCAGGGCGCGATCCTGGAGACCCGGGATCGAATCCCACATCGGGCTCCGGGTGCATGGAGCCTGCTTCTCCCTCTGCCTGTGTCTCTGCCTCTCTCTCTCTCTCTCTCTCTCTCTCTGTGACTATCATAAATAAATAAAAATTTAAAAAAATATATTAATTAAAGAGACCTGTGTCCCGGCCACGCTGAGTCCCCGCCTCCGAGGACACCCGAGTCCCCGCTCCTCTCTGCAGGGCCCAGCGTGGGGTCGGCTCTGCCGTGAGGTCCCGCGGCCTGTCCGCCGTGGGCCGGGTCTGCGTCCCGGGGTGCGGGGCCGAGCCACCGTCCCCGCGTCCTCTGTAGCCACGGGCCCACCGAGAGGCTCTGTCCCCGGACCTCTCCTACTTCACCTCTTCCTGCAAAACCTCCACTCGACGGGGCTCTCTCCCGAGGGTTCATTCTCAATCTCCGCGATTCCCCTTTACCCCGGATGCTTTTGCGTATTTGTGCCTTTTCGGATCTTCTGGACTAGCGACGAGCTGACCTGGCGCCGGGCGTGGCCGCGGAGCTGGGTCCTTCGGCTCCGTCGTCCCCCTGCTGCGATCGCCTTGCTTCCGTCTTGCGCTCGTACGTGGATGCTCGTCCTCTGGGGCCTGAGCTGGACGGTGGCACCTGCCCGGCCCACACCCCTGAGCGCCCGCGAGTCCTCGGGGGAGCGCCCGCCCCCGTTGTTCCTGGGATGCTCCGGTTCA